ATTTATAAAATCTTACTCTGAAACAGCCTCTATGATGTATCGTCGCTCAAATATCAATTTGGTTTAGGCTTCTAAAGGCATTGGGATGGGTGTGGGTATACTTGTTGAATTAACTCACACTCCCACCAACACCCACACCTACACCCCACATCCATACCCACACCCACACCCACACGCACACCCACACCCACACGCACACCCACACCCACACGCACCCACACCCACACCCGCACCCACACCTACACCCACACCTACACCCCCACCCCGCACGAAAATGGCTTGGTCTTGAAAGATCAGGATTAAATGGTATACTCTTACAACAAATTTTAGGTGCTGTTGAACGAATGGAAAAAGTAATATGATTGTTATCAAAATAACAAAATGTTGTTCTTGGTTTTTTTAGAATAAATTTGATGAAGAAATGGAAGCTGTAGCCACTACAGGTTTATATCCTCCAACAAATAGCCATCAAGTTGACTCGGAAATTGATCCTAAATATGGTCTTATGCAATTAGCTGCTCGAGCCGGTTCACCACCAACATCAATGGCTCGTGCTAGTTATCCTCAATCAGATCAACAACAACAATTAATTTATCGTGGAATAAATAATACACGAAGTACACCATATGGACAAGTTATATCATATAGCGGTGTAACACGTCCATTTGAAGCTCCAGTTATAAAACGAGACGAACTAGGTATGTAATCGTTAAGTGTTTTTCACAAGTCATAGTCTAGTATCAATCAACAAGAACTTAATAAATTTTCCTATTCAATGACAATTGATTTGTTCATATCACTAGCTGTTTGAAGCATCTTGGATGCAGAAATATCTGAACCCTTTGCTCTCGCTTTCATTAGCACCCACACTCTTGTGTCGTTATCGATACTCTTAACCACAGTGAGGTACTATATGTAAACTTCAGTTTCATCAACTATAGAATACTCCTAAACAAGTGTCTAACGACTACATCCTAATATCAAATAAAATATCAATAAACATGCAGTATTAACGGCATGACTAATTTTTTGTTTGCCTTATACAACAGTGTCCGATATGGGTCATTTTTTTTGTGACCCAACTCGACCCGAGTCGGACACTGTTATACAAACATCTTGATGATAATAGATTTTTTAGAAGTCTGAAAAAAAAAAATTCATATTTTATTTTAGTTAATCCTGCTTGGATCTTTCATGAATCCTTACATGATTCTGAAGTTGTAATGCTTGATCCACGTGAAACAAAATTTTTTCAAGAATTAATTGGATGTTATTTATATCCATTAGTTGAAGATAAAGATCATCAAAAACAAATGGTTCGTGATCTTAAATCATTACGTAATAATGGTTGTTTTATATTTTTTATGATAAATACATTATGGCTTGTTATTATATTTTCATTTCAACTTGTATCAGAACGTATACGTGATTATGTATTTATACCAATAAAACGTTTACATAATGAACCATTACGTTTTGAACCACTTGGTTTAGCTTTTTTAATTTTTTTTGCAACTATTTTACTTATACAATTTGTATCAATGTTATGGCATCGTTATGGAACATTATTACATTTATTAGCATCAACTGATTTAAAAATTTGTCAACGAAATAATGGAAAAAATAATCGTCATCATCGACGTGGAGATTTTACAACAGATAATGTTGAAGATGCTGTTGAACAAGTTAAAGTTTTACAACAATTAAAAGGTTTTGATGAAGAAGATTTACCTGAACCTGATTATGATAATGATGATGATAATAATGATCAAGATAATAAACAAGCATCAGAACCTGATTTATCAACAACAGGACTTATTTATAATGGTGGTAATCGATATATAAGAAATTCTGCAAATACATCACAACAATGGAGTGATACAGCTAAAGTAAATGATATGCAAAGAAATTTAGATACAACTGATCATAGTGAAATAAGTCAAATGTGTGGATATGCATCAGGTTCAGTTAAAACATATGGAAGTAATTATGAAGCTATAAAACGACGTCAAATATCAAATAAACGTCATTTATATAATAAATCACTTGATCATGTTTTTAAATCACGTTATCAAGCATTAACACAAAATAAAAATCAACAACAACAACAACAACAACAACAACAACATCAACAACAATCAAATAAAAATATACGAATTAAATTAAGTGATGTTTTTCAACAACAACAACAACAACAATTAGGTTTACCAAGAACTAGACGAACATCAAATGAATTAACAGTACGAGATAATGTTACTACTGGAAATATTCAACAACCAACAGCAATTACAAAAAAACATCGAAGGAAATCAAAAGATCGACATTTAGAACATTTGTAGTGTGTATGTGTATGTGTATGTGTATGTGTGCGTGTGTGTGTATAATATCTTTCGATTTCTTTTTCATTTTAAAACTTTATGTTCATATTTATAAGCACAAGACAATATTATATATATATGGATAAAATTTACATTGACATTATCAAAACAAAAACAAAGACTTTCCACTTAAATTATAAATAAACATTTGTTCATGAGCTAGATTTTTTTTTACTGTCAATAGTTTCATATTACAACTGATGTTTCAAAATATATGCATGCAAATCCCATGTAATAATTGATTATGCATTGCACTAGAATTTTAATAGGATCGGTAAGTGATACAAGAAAAATAAGTTTATTTCTTGCTATGTGGCTAGAAGACATGAAAAGAAAAAAAATATTATATGTATATTTCTCAAAAATGAACTTTGAACGTCTATGATTTGTGCGAAAACCTAAAAATTATATTTATATATCAATTTTGTAATCAAATGTTTTAGAAACTCAGCATTACCAGCCATCGGTTACTGACACATAGAAAGTCTACCATTGAAAAAAATACATTCGATAGTGTGTAAAATAGCAATATTTCTATTTGTGATTAGTCTTGAATGTTCTAAAAGCGTTAAATCTTTTCTAGAATGATCAACACGAAACGTTCTGTAAAATGTCAGTAGAGCAAATTTGTATTTGAATAAACATTAATGAGTAGAAAAAGAGGTAACGTCTCCAACAAGGATGTGAATGAGAATCGTGAGGGTCTTCTCTTACTCTACCCACTCTCCCAACATTGAGCCCAGAGACGCATCCACATGCTGCTGTTTATACGCCGTTTGTTTAGTAGTTCTATTCGTAGTCTGTCAATTTCGAGTCCAATGTTAATTTTCTTGTCGAGAATGATCAGAAAAGATCCACTACAGTGACTTATTTTATCGACAAGCATCGATGCCAAAGAGTTTTGTCTATGATTTGGGTAAGGTGTGGGTGTGAATGAATGCCCCACATCCACCCCATACCTACACCTACACCCACACCCGTAGACGAAAGCAAATACGACCTTTTACGACCGAAAACACCCCTATACGGTCTCCGTATTTCACCATATCTCTCCGTATACGGTCATGGTCACATACGATCACATGTATTACGGCAAAACACGTTCGTATACGGAGTCCGTAACCGTCGACCTGGGTATGTACTCGAATAATATGAATAGATACGAGTAGATGTACATACATATACAAGGGATCACATAGTGAAAAGTATACGAGTACAAGTTGCACATATACTCACGCATCTCTACTATAAAAACTTATTATTTCTTATGTTTATTTCTCTGAAATACAGTAACAATGGCACAAACATTTTTATAGTTTTTATCTATACTACGATCCCTACTTATGAGTAAAATATGAGCTTGAAATGAAGTTATCAGTTGAGTATATTCTCTCATAAGCAATAAAAAGATAAATTTTATTTTACATTTTCTTTTTTCAAAAATTGGTCTAAAAATTTTAAATTGGACGGCCATAATTGAAAGTTTTTTTCATTTTTTTTTTAATATAAATATTCATGTTCCATTGAAAATGATTCTTTTCAAAATAATATTCTTCTCATTAATATTGATAAATAAATATGAATAAAATCAAGAGAAAACAAACTAATTTCTAATGGTGGAAATAACATGAAATTAGTTTGTGTCCATATAGTATAGAATTGAAATTTCTCTATCAACATTTAAATGTCCTGTATTAAAAAAATATTTATTTCACAGATTATATATATATATATATTTTACACATGATCATATTAATTTCTTTGTAAACATTGTTCTCTCACAACAATATACAGTACAAAAGATAGTGTTCTGTTTTACTTGTAATATAATGATGATGATAATAATAATCAATCTATTATTGCAAAAGGAAAATAATCTTTACAAGATTTTGAATATTCGACTTTTCCGAATAAAGATAATTTATTCACTTTGATGCAATTAATTCGTGTTGAATCTCTTGTAAAATTATGTGTTACTCTTTGTAATGCTTCATAATGAACATCAAGAAGAATATTATTTTGTAAATATGTTTTCATATTACATAGAAATTCTTCAATATAATCATGATGAGTTCGATAATCTATATGAAGTTCAATAAGATAATCATATTTAATAATTGATAAATTTGAATCATCATTCATTAATTTATAAGATTCTTTCTGATTTTGTGCATGAAGATTATTGATATATAATTTTTCCATAAATGGAAATGATTGAGATATTCGAATAAAAAAATCATGTTCAAAAGGATGTTCATCATATAATGATACAACACGAACATATGGATATAATCCATCTGGAAAATTATTTGTTATACCTTCATAATGGTTCATTAAAAATGGATATGAATAAATATGACATAGACCCTGTTTATACTCTTGAAAATAATCAACACAAGATATTATTTTAGTATATTGAAAATCATTAAATGTTCGTTGAATGTCTTCATTCGATGGTAAATTCATTTGATTATTAATCAACATAGACGAACGAATATCAAATGTAAATTGTTTTAATTGTAACATATGATTAAGAATATTTTTCTTTAAATAATTTCCATCAATAAATGTTTCATTAACAAAGACGCTGAGATCTAAACTAAGTTTTTCTAAATTTGTCATTCGATAAAGAAGTGGTAAAATTAATTTATTGTAATATAATGTTGCCAAAACACAATATAAACCAAAACATTTTAGATTTGGAATTTTTCTCTAGAGAAACAAAAATAAAAATAAAAATAAATTTTATTTTCGTGTAAAACTAACTTGATTTTCAATTTCTTTTGATGGAGGAAAAATATTAGCCAATTGAATATAAAGTGTATGAAGTTGTTCAAAGCGACCATCAAGAATATGAAGACATATACAAAAACTTTGAACTTTGATATTTAATATCAAAAGAGATGAAGAAGAAAAAGTAGGAGATGGAATATCAAAGGATAATCGAACATGATTTTTATATGAAGCATCATAAAATATCAAATTAGTTAAATTGAGAAATACAGTAAAAATAATATTACATATATTTTCCATTGTTGACCATGTTTTTGTATCTGAATTAATACTAAAGATAAGTTTTGTAATTTGTTTTTTAAAAATAGAAGATGAAAGTTTTTCATCTAAAAATATAGATAATATAATCAGCTTTACAAATAATCAAAGATTTAAGACAAATAATTAAAAGACTAACGATAATCTTAGACAGAAAAAAAATTTTTCTTTTAGAAATAATTTCTCTTTTATAAATATAGTTCATAATAAATTTATTAAAAATAATGATCATTATTTTTTAAGTATTCTTTTCTATTCATTAAAAAAAAAAATATTTCGTTTTTTGTTTTTCTTTATCTCAATTGATATAAACGATTCTTCTCTTTTATAGTTTCATAGTTAAACATAAATTAGAAACAAAAATTTATTTAATATATTCAATGATCTTTCTATTCATCTGTATTAATAGATTTCAAAGTATACATATCTTTACTTTGGTTAGAACTAATTTAATTTTATTCAGATATTCTTACCAGTAAAAAGATATTTAGCTGTCTCTTCTTCGATATTATATAAACCAAGTGTATTTAAATTAGGATAATCAGCAGCATGTAAAATATTTTTCATAAATGATGATTCAACATCTAACCATTTGATTTTCGTATGAATTTTAGGTAAGATTTGTAAGCAAAATCGATTAAGTATTATATCAGAAGAAAATTTATTAATACATTTATTGAATGACCATTTGAGAAAGCTTAAATGACTTGTAAATATTTGATCATATATAATTTTATTTAATCCTTCATTGATATCTTGAATAGAATAAAGTATTTCAAGATTGTCAAGTTTTTTGAAAATAATTAGTAAAATTTCATCCGGTAAATCATTCAATTCGACACATGAATATTTCATATTTATTTTTATTTATCTGTTTATTGAACATTCGAAAAATTAATATTTATATACTCATTTTATATTATGGATCAAACTGACTAGACGAATTAAAATTGAATTAAACAATAAGATTCGTACTGTTACATAGACACAGCAATTATATTGGTTGATTCAATATTAGTTCGTCTAGCCTATTTGATTGATGTCGTCACTAATAACAACAACATTTTTTTTTTTTTTCGATAGTCAAAAATGATAATGATTGTATGAATTCATAATAGAAAGGAAGAATGAATGTCATTATTTTGTTTTTTCTTATTTTTTTAATATGTCGTATGAACGTCGGAAAAGTTAGCACCATATTCGTCTTTCTGTATCCGGATTCGCGATATTACTTGAGTTATTTCTAAAACAACTTGGATTAGATGCAGAATTTAATTCTGCGTCGAATGGTGCCAGTTTCGACGAGGGTTATCGAGCAAAAATGCCCTACTTCCCTCAAAAGACTAGTTTTCCCAGGTAGTTCCCAAGGTATTCCCTGTCCGGATTCGCTATATCACTTGGGTTATTTCTAAAACAACTTGGATTAGATGCAGAATTTAATTCTGCGTCGAATGGTGCCAGTTCCGAGGAGAGTTATCGGGCAAAAATACCCCACTTCCCTCAAAATACTTGTTTTTGCAGGTAATTTCCAACCGGTATTTTGAGGGACGTAGGGCATTTTTGCCCAATAACTCCTCTCGAAACCGGCATCATTCGACGCAGAATTAAATTCTGCATCTAACCCAAGTGGTTTTAGATATAACCCAAGTAATATAGCGAATCGGGACAGGGAATACCTTGGGAATTACCTGGAAAAACTAGTATTTTGAGGGAAGTGTGGCATTTTTGCCCAATAACCCTCCTTGAAACTGGCACCATTCGACGCAGAATTTAATTCTGCACCTAACCCAAGTGGTTTTAGATATAACCCAAGTAATATCGCGAATCCTGACAGGGAATACCTTGGGAATTACCTGGAAAAACCAGTATTTTGAGGGAAGTAGACTATTTTTGCCCGATAACCCCCCCCC